CAAATTCATTATATGTTTATAGCAAAGTGTTTTACTCAGGATCCCAGGAAGCTGGCAGCTATAGCAGGGACAAGAGAAATTCAAGGACTAGTGAGCTGCTCATAGTTCAGCCCAGCTGTGATTGACTTTTAATTGGCTTCTCGCTCCACTGAAACAGGAAGTCTGCACTGAGCCCAAGAGAAGAGGAAAAGTCCTCGGGGCGTAGGACAGTGAGGGTGAGCACGTGGAATCACTGGTTCTCCCCGGTCTGGTCTAGGTTTGCAACTGAAGTCCTGACGTTGGTTACTTTCTTGTCTCTAACTGCACCATTATTGTTGCCTCTGTGTCTTGAATTGATTCAAAACTTTCACCTTTCCTGATCATTTTATCTTTATAAGAGAGCCAAATGCTTGATGCTAGATCCAGTGAATAAGGTTGAGAAGGACACATTATAAAGTTGTTATTTAGCAGAAAGTCCCATCCATGTTTTGAGTCAATTCATAACATTGAGACAGCCCCCCAAAGACACACAAAAGAGGACTTCCTGAATGGCTTCACAGTGTGGTGGTGAGAATGATGTGTGTTTTTGAAGTGAGGGCTAATATTTTGATGGGGATTAATGGCAATAGGTCTTTTATTATAATAATTTTCTCTATTTTTATTTATATATTCACTGTATCTCTTGATCATATCTTTACTCAGCAATGTCAGCTTGTACTTCTTAGTGCCCTAGACTAGTGCTGTAATGGTAACTCCCATTGTTCTACCTATTTATTAAGTTGTTCTCTGAGGGTCTCCCCTGATTACCTAGTCAAAAGTAGGATCCCATCTTCTAGTCCATCATTATCTTTCTTTTTTGTCATGGGACAGATCACCACTTCTTTGTTCATTTGCTTGCTTATGGCTCATGGGCCTCCATTAAAATGTAATTGAGAACAGGAGTCTTTTATCTTGTGTAAGTCTGTCTTCCCAGTCATTGCTCAGTGAGTGTTTATTTAATACACAGCAGAATGTGCTGTTTTTGTCTGTGTATGTTATGGCTTGTATTTAGATGTCCCCCAAAGCCTCATAGAGTCATAGTGGGGGCTTTTCAGAGGTGGCTGGATCTAGAGTGTGTAGTGTTGGGCTCAAGGGTGTGTGATGACTAAATCAGTCCATTGATTGGTTTGGCATAATTCTGGCTAGAATTAAGGGTGTGAGTGCTACACCTACCCTAGGGCAGGTAGCCTGCCTAAAATATGAGACAGAAAGAAGCTAATGTGCTCTCCCCTGCCTGCTTCTCATGGACTATTTCCTCTCTATGATGCTCCTCTGCCATGCCACCCTGCCTTGAAGCCAGCCAACTATGGTTTGAAACCTCTACAGACTGTGAGCTAAATAAACCTTTCTTCCTTTAACTTTGGGTGTGGGGTACTTTGAATAGGGATCCTGTTTCCAAGGGCATGACCTTGGGTTCTGTGTATTTGGTACATAGAAAGACAGATGACTGAGAATTCTTAGCAGAAAAAATGGAACAATAAAACACAATGGAAAACTCCCTTCAATCCGAATGTTCATGTAGAATAGAATATACGAACAAATATGGGCATTCATATAATAAAATATTAAATAGCAGAGAAAATAAAGGATTTCAGCTATACACATCAACATGAATAAATCTCAAAAGTCCAATATTGAAAGAAAGAGGAGAGCCATAGAAAAAAAAGATTAGAGTAAGATTCCATTTATATTCAGGTTAAAGTGAAGCAAACTTTAACATAAATTTCATGTAGCTGCATGCACAGTTGGGAAAACTATAATAGAAAGAAGAGGAATGACCAATATCAAATTTAGCTTAGTGGTTAACTTTGGGGTCTGGGAGTGGAGTATAACTGCAGAAACAGATATGAGGAATTTCAAAAATATCAAGTATATTTTTCTCTTGAGCTAAGTGAAAGGACTATGAGTGTTATTATTATCATTATCGATTTTAGTAGTATTTAAACAGTTTATAAATTATTTCACATTTACTTTACCAATGAAGGAACAAAAAGTGAAAATGACTATTTTGATCTCTATTTGGGTCTGACTTTTGGAAAAACATTCAACTAATTGTGTGAGAATCAGTATAACTTTTCAAAAAGAAAAAATTAATTTGTTATAAGTTCCTTTCTCTGTGGTTAAAATTTCTCTCATCATCTTATCTTTCTCATACACAACTCTAATTTAGAAAAATTCTAAGCAAAGCTCTGAAGTTTAGCTCTATCTTCTAGGAAGAGGAAATTCAGATCGGAATTGTGCTATTTTTACATTAAGATTTAGTTCAATTTGATATACTTGGGGGTTAGAAAGAGGAAAAATATATACATATGCACACACATGTATACAAATATATACAAATGTGCAGACATGCATCCATGTGGGGAGGATTATCTACTATATATATATGATTATACATAATAGTTAATTATCCACGTTTATTGCATCATATAGTTTATAAAGGAATCATATGATATATACTGTACAAGGTGTTCAGAACCAGGGCATGTGAGAAATTTCTGGGGCCAGATTGTGTGATTGCACCCACAGCCCCAAGGCTGATGTGAGCTGCCTTGGGAAACAGAAAAGGAGGTGGAAAGCTTCATACTTTCTGTGTAGGGGGAATGCTCGTAACCTCAGTGCTCCTATAGCAGGATGACATCTGCTGAGGACAATGTAAAGAGTGCTAGTTCCTTATTACCTTGGGCAGGCATAGGGTAGGGAAGAACCTGTTCCCTTTCACATACTCCCCTTGTAAAAGTTTAATCTGTTCCCTATTTTTCAAAATATCTTTTCAACCATTATTATTCCATGAATGAGACACATCTCCTTCCTCCTATGCTTCTTGCTGTCTAATAAAAGTGAGTCAACTATGGAGATTATCAGATCTGCCCACTAGTGGTAGACTTTTACCAGTCCCCTTGCATATTTTTTTTTGAACTGGGGATTGAACTCTGAACTTTGCACTTGTGAGGCAGGTGGTGGAACCACTGAGCTAAATCTCCAGACCCTGCTAGATTGGGCTCTGTATCTGAGCCTTCTGTTCAACTGAGTTTATGGAAAATGGATCTTATAATGTACAGCAGTAACCAAAATAAACCTTGTCTTCAAGTAGTGTTCATAGTGCAAGACATTGTGTATACAGTGAGGTTTAAGGCACTTCCTAAGGTTAAAGCAACCTGACTGGAAGTGAGAGATCACTGAAAGAGAGAAGTCAATAGAGAGGAAAAAGAGGAGGAAGGCAATAAGTGGTAGGAAAAGAGGACAGGCAAAAATAACAAGATATTAACAATAGCCCTGTGATTCTTTGAAAACCTGCCTCCCTTCACCAGATTAATTCATTGTGGAGCTACATATTAAATATGAGATGGTTGGAATTCTCTGAAGGAGTTGCAGCAGATTAGGCACCAATAATATTGTTTGCTTCTTTTTTATTAGTATATGTTTGTAATACATAATAATTATATTCATTTTATCTTGATCACTTTTTATTCCCTTCCTCACACTCTCCTCTCTTCCTTGTTCCCCAGATCTCCATTCCTATCTCCAAAAAGTCTACCTCCTTGTCTCCTATCACCACTCCTTTATTTCACAGAAATTTTTCTGAGAAGAGACAGAACAGTGATGTACCATCAAATACAGTGATAAGAAAAATCAAGTGAAAAGAGCAATTGTTCCAGAATGCTACCCCTTCAGGTTGGTTTGGAAATATTCTGAGCCTTTCTGACAATTTTTGGACATTAGAATCTGAAGGCAACACAGAGTTCATCTGGCCCAATATTTTAAAGTTCAGAACTTAGGAAAGTAGAGAGGAGGTACAGGGTCACATGATGAGCTTGACTACTGGTTTAATGTTCTTTTACTTTAGAAATTACAACTCCTGTTAAAGTTTTCATGACTTAATAACTCACTACACCTTGTTTCTGCAATCTATCTGTAAGATGCTAGTCCCCCATAGATACCACAAAGACACATAGACAAAAAGGAGAAGGAGGAGGAGGAAGGGGAGGAGGAGGAGGAGACGAGGAAGAAGAAGAAGAAGGAGGAGGAGGAGGAGGAGGAGGAGGAGGAGGACAAAAATACAAAAACCTTAAGAAGTCAACAAGTTTCTTTGGAAAGCAGCTTGCTACATCTCCTCCTTGAGGAGTCACATGCATCACAGCTTTTCAGAGATGTAAGAAATTCCATCATGAGAATTCCATTTGGTTTAAATACATGTTCCTAGTACATGAACTAACAGCAAGACTAATAAGTTGTGGGACACATTTTTTTAAAAAACAAAATTATAATTTTCTATTTGGCAATGTTTTATAGCTTAGATATCATTTCAGAATTATACTAAAGTTTTAAAAAACTATTTTTTTAATTCCCATGTGGACTCTGCTGTTGACCACAGTGATGTAAGTGCTCAAAGCTCCCTGATTTGAGAAATGGTTTCATAAATGTTTATATTATACATATTAACTATGTTGGGGTCTCATATTTGTCTCTCATTATCTATAAGAAATAGTTCAGAATTATAAACCATAAACATTAATAATAAGGATTTAATTAGTTTAAACATTAGTGGATTTAAACAGAGTCAAGATATTTACAGAATGATTGCAAGGTTATACAAGGAGGATCTAGGCCTGAAATGTAATGGTTTCCCCCCCAAAAACCATAGAATTGGCCTACTGAGCACACTACTAAGGATTCAGGACACATTTGTGCTAATCATCACATGTAGTCATAGTCTACATAGTCTACATTGTCTGACAGGAAACTGTCATGCCAACTACTGCTCCAGGCTCAATTCCTCACCCTCAGGATGTGATTATATTGTCAGGGCTGTAAGCTCCAAATAAACACATCTCATGTAAAGGATCGTGAGACATACTACATAATATTTAAACCTGTATATCTATTTTACTTCACTCAACATTTTATTTTCCAGGTACATCCATTTCTTACAAATGTTTCAAATATATTACACACACACACACACACACACACACACACACATGTATCACATTTTCTTTATTCAATTGTCTGTTGATGAATATACAGGGTTCTTCCAGGATTTAGGTGTCATGAATTGTGCTGCTATCAACATTGATATCATGTATAGCTGTAGTATGATGTTTTAAATTCATTTGAGTAAGGCAAGATACAAAAAAGAGATCAACAGGGGATGGATAGGAGACAAGGGAGTGAATCTCTTGCAAATGGGAAGGGGGCTAAGAGACCAGAAACCTAATAACCTCAATGAATGTAAACATTATATGCCATAAACATGTGCTAAGACTAATAATATCAATAAGAATGAAAATGGGGAAAGGAGAACTAGAGGAGGAGAAAGAGAAGGGGGAGAGATGAGGAAGAATATTTTTTAAAAAGAAAATTTAAATATTCACCATAAAAAAGAATTGTGTTGCACTTCAGATATAAATGTCCCCCCAGGTCTTTTGTTCAGTGGTAGGGCCTCATCAGGGATGGAAATTTATTGGGTTGTGACCTAGAAGGGTATGTTCTTCCTCCTGGGTCCTCCTGTCTCTCTCTGTTTCCTGGCTGCCACAGGTTCAGCACTTTTCCTCCACCATGGCCCTCTGCCATGCTGCTTCTGCCTTGAAGCCAACCAGCCAAGGCATGGTTGATTGACATGTGAGCCAAAATAAGCCTCTCTACCTTTGACTTCTTGGTGTAAGGTACTTTACCCAAGAAAATGGGAAGGTGACTGATGTGGATAATTATTGCTAGAGAGGTGGGATGCTTGCTATGACTGTGGTTGCCTCCAGGTGTAAAACTGCAAACTCTTCATTTGAGAATAAAATGTTCCTGGGATGCCTGCTAAATAAGGACCTGTTAGGAAATTAGCTGCCCAGGATTCATTTCATCAGGGTGGTTAGAGGCCATCAGAGCCATGGTCCAAGGGATCCTAGTTATTATTTGACCTGGTGGAAGACGTTATTGTCATCCACATGGTGCAAGTTGCAGGGTCGTGTAGGCTACGATCCAGATTTTAGATTGAGGCTTTGGAGGCCAGGCAATATACCCTTGAGAAGGTTTAGTTGTTCCTCAGTTCATGAACTTAATTTATTCCACGATTCTGCAAAAGATGGCCATGTTCATGTTGATGTAGGAAAGATGGCTCCAGTTGTGTTCATCATTTGATGCAGAGCTTGTAAACAAAAACAAAATATTGACAAATGCTTCTGTTTGTGAACCAAATTGTTTGCAAACAAAACTGCTTGTAAACTGAGGTACCACTGTAGTGTGTGAAACTATGAGAGTGAAGCCAAAAGTGCAGTGGAGACCCATGAAAGTTGGAATGATCTGAGAAAGACTGAATGTAGCAATCAGAGCCATCCCAAGATAGAGGCCATGAGGCCTGCAACCAGCAAGGCTACAGGGATAGAGCTGCCCAAGCCCTTTGGTGTTAACATCTCATCACAACTTGGGTGAGATACACGGGTGCTGGCTGCTGGGTATGGGGTTGCAGGATTGAATGTTTGGCCTGTTGGGTTATAGCATGTTTTGGTCTGATTTCTTTGTATTCTCCTATCCTTGCCCTTTAAAATGAGGGTGTTTACCGAGTGCCATTGTTTGTTCGAAGCATTTACTTTGCTTTTGATTTTTATAGGGGTCACAACTAAGAATTTGCCTTGAGTCTCAGAGGAGACTTTGGACTTGGACTTTGTAGCAGTGCTGGAAATATTAAGACTTTGGCAATTCTTAGAGATAGGCTATATGAATTTTACATAATTGAATGAACATGATCCTCTTGGAGGTCAGGGATGGAATGTTATGATTTAGGTCTAAAATGTCCCCCAATATATTTGTGTTTCCTTGCACTCTCAGCTTCCTAGCTGTCATGGACAGAGCACCTTTCATCTGCCATGCCACTCTGCCCATGTCGCTTTTGCCTTGGAGTGAACCAAAATAAATCTCTCATCTTTCACATTGAAGTTTAGGGTATGATCGAGGACCTTGTCCCAGTGACAGGAAAGTGACAATTACAGAACCTCAGCTGGTACAAGCCCTCACAGAGCTGGTGTTTAGACATGGGACAGTCACTAATTATAGTGTGGGGCTATCTCAAGATCTTCATATTCATGTTGCCAGCAGATAGTTTGTAAGTAACCATAGTGTATCTACCTCTCTTTTTCCTTCCAAATATCTCACAAACCTATCAAGTTGACAGAACCTTGGTTGTCCAAACTCTTACTACAAGAGAATCTAGAAAGCACAGGGTTATAGCTTTACATTTCTCAGAATATAGAAAAAGTGCAACGGTTGGAGTGCCAATCTATCCCACCAACTGTAAGAACTGTTTTTATTTTTCAGGGCAAAATAGACAAGTGTTGAGGCAAAGTAAAGGATCTTGTTCCCTACAGTAGCTTAGCATGACTTGACTAGGTAGCTTCTAAGATTAGTTGCAACTCCAAGGCTCTTTGATTTAATCAATATGAAAACATTTCTGCAGTGATACTTTAAAGCTTTTTTTTCAGATTAGTAGTCATTCTACCTCATTTTGGTTGATGATGGTGCATTTCGATTTTTTGTTCGCTCTCCATAGAATCCACTGTTCAGTTGGACTTTGGACAATAAATTTCCTAACTCCAGATTTTCCGCATGAAGGACTATGAACTGGGTCAAAGGAGAGAGAGAGAGAGAGAGAGAGAGAGAGAGAGAGATTGTGAAATAAATCAGAAGAGCAAAGACAAAGGGAGAAACATAAGAATTGCGGTTTCCTTTTAGTTTAGTGTACTAGTACATGTGTGTAGTGAATAATGTTTACACTCCTTGTGTGAAGTTGGTACATGTACATGACACATTGCAATTCTTTTTTTCATCCCTTATCCCTTCCTTCCCTCCACCTTCCTCCGTCTCTGCAATTTATTCATCCAGGTTCTCAAGATTAATTTGATTGGCATGGGTGCCTCAAAGTATGAGTATGTCAGGTAGCTTTGTGACAAAAATAGTTTAAATACAAGATCAAAGCAAGAGGAGGCTGAAAATGACTACTGGTTGCCAAGGGACCTGATTAATCCTTCTTTACAAACTCCCACATGAGGAAAGGTCCAAGAAGCAAGATAGGGTAGCAAAATTATCACCTGGGCTCACATGAACATTCTGAAGCTCTGGATTTATGTAGTGGAGCCACCAAATATACATCTTAATAAAGACCTTTGTGATTCCACTGTAGGGTCTCTCTTAATCACTTTGAAAAAAGCTAGTTGTAGGCTCATACAAAGTGAAAGGGAAAAGGATTTTGCAAAGGTTGGGTTCTGGAAGAGTCTGATGTAATCTTGTCAACAAGGATCACAGACTGGGTCTCAAAGTGAAATCCCAAGTGTGATGTGCTCTCCAAAACACTGGTACCTGGTAAGGAATCAGCATCTCTGTGGTGGTTAGTAGAAATATGCATATTACCCATGATGCCATCAAAATTAGAAAATATGGGAACACTTGAAAGTCACTGCCACAGATAATGAAGAAAACACTGAAGCATGATTTTTCCTGAAGGTTAATGGACATTAATATATGTTCAGCCAGTGAGGTCTAGTACTGACTGCATAGTAATTTATTTCTATGTAAACTCACAACCATTGAATCAAATACCCACCAGGCTTTCTGTTTCACACATACATTTAGGAACAATAAAATCACCCAGGAATTGCCATCTAAAACGATATTTTGCCCTGTTGGTAATCTCAATCTAATCGCTGGAGAATTGCCTACAAGACATGGTGAGATAATTCCTGTAGAGGTGAATGCCAGGAAAAATACTTGCCAAATCACTCTGATGATGAAAGTGAAGTGACATTCCATTCCTACAGTCTTTGGAAATTAATCTGTTTCTATACTATGTATTGACCCTAAGAGGACATGGGATAGAACAGATTGCTATCATCAGGGAACATTTTTATGCTCAAAAGCAAAATATAGCATCCTTTATTTATTTGTGTACCGGGGGAAAAGAGTGTTATAGCAAACATTTCTTGCTCGAGTTTTAAAATAAATTGAAAGGGAATACAATTGTGTTTCAACATTGTGTTATTTACCATGCCTATTAAAAACTCAGATGAAATTCAGAACTTTTATTCCAGTCTTTCTGTTAAGATTATTTTGTTTTCCATCAAAACCATAACTATGTTGCAAAATCCATCTGCTTTCACTGATCCTAAAAGTAACTACATTAATCCAAGCTGAAAGCTATATGTGAATACAAGCTGATGTCATTTATGAACAAGTACCTTAGCATACTGCTTTAACAACTTATTCTTCTCAGCTTGACAAATATAAACATTTATATTCCAAAGTAATTTACATTTAAAATCCCATACCAAGCTGATGGGAGAAGATAGAATATTGAATTTCAACACATAGATAAGTTTTTCTAAAACAACAAAGAGGCATCTAGTAATGACTTTTCATTTAGACAGCATACTTTACTCATTGAGAATTCTAAGTAGCATACTTTACCATGCATATTTGGGGAAGTTTGTGCTTTTTAGAAATAAAAAGATGATGAATGTGCATCATATCCATACTGATTTTATCTGGTAGGTGACTCAAATTGAGAATTTTACCTGACTTATTTACTAAGATCTCATTTTTAGGAACTCATGTATAAAGTAGCTATGAAGCTATAGTTATTTAGCTATGACTTCAGAGCTACTTCTACTGAAGGTTGAGAGTATATAAAGAAATCTTACTTTATAAACAGAAAAATAAAAATACATGCAGCTACACATATAGGTCACACTTGAGATATGGCTCTTTTGTAAATGGCCAAAAAGTCCTGACCAAATGCAGAAAACTACTAGTGGTCCACCTATTAACATTTTATCAGTACATATTCATAGTGCACAGTATTCACATTCTATGTGTGGAGTTGGTACACGTACATAACCCATCTTAACTCCTTTTTTCATCACCTTTCCTTCTCCTCGGCCCCCCTCCATCCTTCTCTTGACTTCTTTCCAATCTGAGAAAGATCTGTCTCCCTATTAGCTATCTTTTAAGGTGTTGTGAATATATGTATCCCAGTGAATGGAGATACACATCAGAATTCTGAATAAAATTAACTATCCAAACAATGCAACTCACATACTGGTAGTGTTGTGTTAGTAGCGAATTTCCTCGGTGGCATCTACTCTTTCTAACACACCTGTGTCTAACCACAGTCTCTTATGTACATTGCTAAAGTTATGAAGTGAAATGAAACTGACTTCCAACTTCATCACCGCTAACACTGTGAGTACAAGTTATACGCTGCATGACAGTGACCTAGTATGGCCTCTGGAAAATATTCACATCATTAAGCTGCATTTTAATCTATAAAATGGGAGTAATAATAGTAAAACTAATAGTACCTATTTCAGTGGGCTGTGCTATAATAATAATTAAAATAAATAAATCATGCATGATGGATAGAAAAATGTCATGGAATAAACTTTCAATAAAAGAGAATAAAAGTATTGAAGCTAGTTTTCTAGGCTTAGCTTTGATCATCTTAAAAAGTAATAATTTTGAGGAAATACAATGAAATTACTTCCAAACAAGACAACAAAAACAGAAAGTTACAAGAGGTTAGTGAAATAAGTAATAAAACAAGTAAGAATCTCACCAGATCACAAAAAGTAAAAGTGTCTTCTTCTAGTGTTGATAAAGGTAAGAGAAGAACCTACAAGGTCAAAGGTGTGTGTACTTCAACAGTTAGTAATTTCACTTCTAGACATATATTCTAGAGATGTACCAGCACACAGGTACATGGACATGGACATGGATATTGCAGTAGTCATGTTGACTTAAAAATGCAGCATGAATAGGGAAAACAATAAATGATGAAAAATCCATATCATAGAACATTGTAAAAGGGTCTTTACATTATAGAGGTTATTGGTTTTGTTATTGTCTTATGAAGAGTGTGGGGCTTTTCTTTTTGCTTTGTTTTGTTAGCTGATGAATTTATGCTTTTTGAGACTTGTTTTACTAAGGTGAATCTAGACTTTCACTCCAGGACAGCTCAGCCATACTGCTGAAGTTGAGCCCCTTCCCCATGAAGCAGTATTCTCTGAGTGTACTGGGCATTCACTGAAGCTACCCTGCTCTAGTTGTTTGGAGTATAATCATCTTCCTAACACATGTAAGTTGTTGACATACCAAGAATAAGGAAAAAGTAATTCAGTTACAGAAACTTATGACTAAAAGCACATCCAGAAGTTGTAGTAGTGATAAAACTACAAGAAAATGGTATTTTAAAATGATATTTTTCTTTTCCACTGTATATAATTGTACAATGTATATAATTGGGGCTTTTAAAAATCAACTTGGCAGTCTCTCCATTTTATTCATAATGTTTAGAAATTTATAATTAGTTAACATATTGTGGTTGTTTAAATTTACTATTGAGATGAATCATGACTGAATAAAATAATATATGGAAATTGATGAAATGTATCTGTAAGAGTGTGAAAAGAAAATTTATAGACTAAAATACTTAATATAAGACTGCAAATATTTAAAATAATGATTCAACATAAATTGAGAAAGTAATTCCATGCTAATGTTTCAGAAAATGGGAGAAAGATTCTATTAAAAATATAAGGAAAAGATACTAAAATAGAAAAGAGGAAAACCAAAAGCTGTTTTATGAAAATGTATATAATTGATAAAGTTATAAATAGGCCAATTGAAAAGAAAAATAAGTAAAAAAATGTTACTCGTCTCAAGATTAAAGAGTAGATATCAGTACAGATCATATAGATATTGAAAGAATAACAGGAACAAATTTACATGGATAAAAGTAATTTAAGTAAAACATTCTTTAAAGACACAAATTATCAAAATTCTCTCAAAAAGATAAACATATGAGGAATCTTTATCAAATAAATAAATTGAATTTATTATTAAAATTATTATGAATAAGAAATCCCTGTTCCCCATTGCTCCAATGGTAGGTAAAACCCAGAATTTAAGTAAAAGTAATACCAATTCTAATGCAAACTTTTTATAAAAAAGAAAAGAAAGGAACCCTTCTCAATTAATATAAAAGGTACACATTAGCTAAAACTGAAAGCAAAATAAACAAACAAATAACTAAATAAAACATTATAGAAATAGAATACTAGTTGCTAATATCCCAATTGAACATATATGAAGAAGTCTTTAGACACATTTATTTTCTAATAAAATCTAAAATAGGCAAGTGGACCATGTCTTTGACTTAGTCAAATCCTCTCAGGAAGGGAGGATTGATTTTATATTCAAAAATCAATCAATATAATTCATCATACTAATGGTTAATGTATAAAAGCAAAGTATTATCTCAAAAATAAAACTATTTAGCAGAATTCAGTATCCATGTATAGTAAAAAAATCATACTAGGAAGCACATAAGAAAAAATACAGATATCATCATATCTCGGTCTATAAGACCAAATGCTGTCTCCCTAAGACTGAAGTAAAGAAAGAGATTATTACTCTAACCAGTGGAATAAAGTAAGAAACAGAATTAAAAGGTTATGAATTAGATTAATTTTCCAGAGAATATGACTCTGTATATGGACTATCTTAAGGCATCTATAACATGCTACTAGAATTATTAAGTACATTATCAAGTTTATAGATATTAGATCAAGGTCTAAAATCAGTGATATGTTTATGTACTAGCCATGAAAATTGGAAATTAAGAAGTGATATCATTTACAATCATGTTTTAAAATTATTGATAATAAATTTTTGAACCATGTGGCATCAAATAGATCTAATTGATATTTATAGAATAATTCAACAAACAGGAGCAGAATACACATTGTTTTCAAGTTTACATCTATTCCTCACCGAGAGAAAACACTGTGGGTCACAAAAGACACTGAAAAAAAATGCTTAGAAGGGGAATTAAAACATTTAACATGTACTTCAGAAAAGAAAAAAAATCAGAAATCAATGATACTAACTTCTAACTAAGTAAGATAGAGAAAGAAGAGCAAACTTAAATTTCAAAAATTACAGTAGAAATCAAAGAAATTGAATATAGGCAAGCAATTGAGGAAATCATCAAAAGTAAAGATAGTCTTTGGAAAAGATCAAGAAAATTGATAGACATCTCCATCCAGGGTATTCGAGAAAAAGACAGGGGAGATACAAATTGGTATAAGTAATGAAAGTGAAACAATCACTGCTAATCCAATGGGCATTAAGGGGACTATAAAGAAATGATTCATCTATGCTTATAAAGTTTATATATCTTAGATGAAAAAGCTAATTCAAAGACACCATCTACCAATAGTAGGATATATATATACACTATATATAATAGTATATATATACTATTCATACTATCACCTTATATATAAGATTATATATATAAGATTAAATAAATAATGTATATAAGATTAAATAAATAATAATATATAATCATATATATAAGATTAAATAAATAAGATTACATATGTATAAGATTAAATAAATAACAGTCTTCCAAAACAGAAATAACCACTGAATTCATGGTGAATTCTATAAAATACTTATAGGAAGAAATTATACCAATTTTCTACAACCTCTTCTAGAGAATAAATGCAAATATACTTCCTATTTCATTATATGAAGTCACTAGACTAATATCAAAATGAGATAAAGATATTAAAAACAAAACAAAGAAATATTTTCATAAATATAGATGCAAAAATATTCAAAAAAGTAGTAGCAAGGAAAATCCATGTATAAAAACAATTATACACCATGATAAAATAGGATTTTCCCAGGTCTGCCAGGCTCCTTACCTGCAAGGCTTCATCAAATTTTTTCAAAGATTTAAAATTTTAAAATAAGTTAGTATAATCCATTGTAGGGGACAGGGGAAGGGGACGTTACCAGAACCTCTGCAGTGAGTCCTGGTCTCCTGCGAGCCACGGCAGCACACGGCAAATGACAGGAAAGGTAGAAAAATGAGACTGAGAAGAAGCTGAGCTTTGGGTCTGATCAGTGCTGCTCTGCGCAGCAAAGACAAAAGCCCCCAGCTTACCACACCTTTTATTCAGTACATCGGGAGAAACAAATGTAACAAATGACTTGCAGAGAGTTCAATAGTTCACATTGGGATAAACAAGGTGTAACGGAAGGCTTGCAGAGAGTTCAGTACATCTCCGGCAAACAAGATGTTAATCAGTCAAAGAACAATGAGGAACTGAGCAGATGTTTGTTCTCCCAGGATGTTTCTTGTCCTGGAGAATCATAGCATCACTGAATCACTGAAGTCTCAGTTGTGACCGGAGGCCAAACTGGAGTTATTCTGTAGCTGGGCTGTAGGCAAGAGAACTAGGCTAACCAAATGATTTATCCCTAGAATTATGTAGCATTGCTCCCAACAATCCATGACATCAACAGGCAAAAGAATTGTCATATGAGTGTATCAATAGTGCAGAAAAAGCATTTGATAAAATCTAACACTTCTTCATAAAAAACACAGAACCAAAACAAAGACAACATTTCAGCCAGTTGTGAATAAGTGGGAACTTTTGAACTTGATAAGGAATATCTGCAAAAGCCTACACCTGTTATCATATCTCATGGTAAGAAACTAGATGGTTTGCTTCTAAAGTCAGGAGCAAGGCAATGGTACTCCTTTCACCACTTGTACTCAACATCACCTCGGAAGTCCTACTGATGCAGGAAGACAAGCAAAGGAAATAAAAGTATGCAGGTCTTGAAGGAAGAAAGGAATAATCACAGAAATGTCTGTCTTGAAAATCCCAAGTAGTTTGAAGAAAATTTCCTGGAATCAGTAAAAATTTATAGCAGAGTCTCAAGATACAAGGTCAATATGCAAGGTCAATTGCTGTATTGCTGTTCTCCATACCAGCAATGAGCCATTGTAATTTGAAATTTAAAAATAATATCATTCACATTAACATCCTTCAAATGAAACAGTTAGTTATATATATATATATAACAAATATGTACAACATTTGTGTTATGAAACTCTAAAAAAAATGTCCAAAGTCTAAATAAATGGAGAGATAGGTTCCTGGATAAGAAGATTCATTTTGTGGGACTATATGAGATTGAACAAAGGTTACTCCATGTTGCCTCACTCAATACTCCCCCTCCCCTTCTGAGTAAACCATGTGATGTCATTTCTGGGAAGAAAAACAAAGGTTCACGGAATGCACAGTGTTCTTTGAAATTACCCAACTCCCCATAAACAGGAAATGTACTGGAACATGCTATCTACTATCTAAATGTATTGGAACATGCTATCTAAATCCCCTAACTGGCAGCATCTCGCTTTTGTAATCTCTGCTTACTAACTTCCCCTTGCAACCCCTATAAAAGAGCCTCGGACTCTGAGCCAGTTGCCTCTCTAAGCTTGTTTGCTTGGAGGGTGCTGTCTGGCCAGACTAATAAAGGTCTGTTTTACTTTCCAACTTGTCCGGTGTGCTCCCTCCCGGGTGTTCTTTGCTGCAGTCAGCTCCTCGGAGCGTTTGGTAAGGCCCTCGGTCTTACAATTTCCATTCAGATTTAGTTCTTCTCAATTATTTGATTCTATTAAATCCCAATCAAAGTTTCTTTCCTTTTTAAATTTTTTTTTGGGGGGCAGGGTCTCACTATATAGTTCAGGTTGGCCTGGATCTCACTATGTAGCCTAAGTTGGCCTTAAACTTGTGGCCATCCTCTTGCTTCGGCCTCTCAAGTGCTGGGATTACAGGCATATGCCACCACACCCAACCCAATCAAATAAGTTATTTTGTGTGTCTTTTATCAAGAAACTAATTCTAGAGTTTATATAGAAAGGAAAATATTCCAAATATCCAACACATTGCTTTTTAAAAATTAATTTTATTGGTACAATGTAAGTATACGTAATGATCACATTCATCAGAGGGAACTTGTACCTGTATGTCATATGCCTTGATTCCTCTTTTTCTCCCAATCCCTTCCCTTCCCTCCGCCCCCTCCCCTTTATTTACAGGTGTTTCCATTTTTCCCTTCTTTTCTCATTTTCCCTTCCTTTTCCACCTCTCCCTTCACAATTTGTTGGAGAGAAACCACCTGAATTTACAACGTACTATAAAACTACAATGATGAAAAAGATGTAGTTTGGCAAAAGAAAAGAAAAAAAGCTACAGTAATCGAAGAGGTGTATGTCACTCAAGGAATAGAATAGAAGGCACAAAACATAGACCCACACAAACATAACAAACTGATCTTTGATAATGGAGTACAGAGAACCCAACAGAGAATCAAACATCTCCCGACAAATGGTGAGAGAATAATTTGATGCCATATGCAAAGCAGTCCAGATATTGATCTTGCATTTTTCACAAAATACTTATCTGAAAATGTATTATAGATCTAACTGTAAAATACAAAAAGCAAAACTTCTACAAGACCACACAGGAGGAAGCTGGGATCAACACACGTCTTAGACACTTTCTGTCACTAGGACGAGATACCCATTGCCCATAGCTTAGAGGAGAAGAGGTTTATGTTGGCTCAAGGATTCAGTTCACAGTCGGCAGGACCAGGAGGGGAGGGCGGCAAGAGCAGTCAGAAAGCAACAGAGCAGGACCGTGACAGGAGCACACTCTTCCAGGTGGGCCACAGGCCCATGATCAGTCCCCTCCAGACACCACAGGGGGTGCTGGGACCGAGCAGCTGGTGAATGCACCGTCCACAGTGCAATCACCCTCCAAACACATGAGACATCAGGGACGTTTTATATCTAAATCATAACGCCACTGATTTGATGATAAGTTTTTACAACACTAAAGAAAAATCTATCATAAATTAGACCCTCATAAAATTAAAAACCACTGCTCCATTAACAGTACTTTTAAAGAATGAAAGGACAAGTTGCTAAAAGGGAGAGATTATTTGTAAAATACATATTTCAAGGACTTGCATTCAAATTATAAAAAGAACTCCAACAATTTAACAATAAGAAAACATTTAAAAATAAGCAGAAGATTCGAGTCACTCCAGCAAAGATGATACACAGATAGTGAATAAGTATATAAAAAGATACTGAACATGATGCATCATTAGGGAGTTGCAAATTAAAAAAACAATGAAATACTTAGATATTCATACTGCACACTTATTAGAATGGCTGAAATCTGAAAAACTGATAATTCCAAATAGTTGTGAGAATGTGGAACTATAGGAACTCAAAGTCATTACTAGTGGGAATGTAAAATCTTACACCCACTTTGCAAAAAATGTGTCTGTGTCTTACAAACTGAACATAGTCTTGTAATATAATCCAGTATCTCACTCTCTGGTATTTGCCAAATAAATCGAAAACTTATGTCCATTTGAAAGTCTGCCCTTGTATTTTATAGTAGCGTTATTTATATTCCACAAACTGGAAGCCAACACGATGACCTTCAAAAGGTGAATAAACAAACTGTAATACATCCATAAATGGAACATTATTCAGCAATAAAAAGAAATGAGCTTTCAAGCCACAAAAAGACACGGGTAAACCTTTTGTGCATATTTCTTAGTGAAGGAAACTAGTCTGAAAAGACTATGTACTGTGTGTCCACCTATATGACATTCTGAAAGAGGCAAAACTGTAAAATCAATCAAAAGGTCAGTGGTTGCTAGGGATATGGCCAAGAGAGGAGGGCTAAATCCTTGGAGTGCAGAGGTTTTAGGACAATAAAACTATTCTGTAGGACAGTGAAATGGTGGCCAAAACCTATAGAACTCAACAGTACAAAGAGTAGCCTACATGTAAATTATAACCTTTAGTTAATAATTTATATATCAATATTAGTTCATTAACTGGAGCAAACAGAAGAAGGGAGAGAAAGGATACAAGGGAACCATCTACCAAAACTTTCTGTGAACTTACAGCACTTTTACAATTTAAAGCTTATTAATTAAAAACAAAAATATTCACACGGTCAGAAAACACAAAATTGTAAAAAAAAAAAAAGAAGGTATGTAAAATCTGGACACTGAACACTACAAAGTATTTATGAAATTAAAGACCTACATAACGGTGGTAGAGGAGGTGTGGTCAAAATCACTGTGAGTATTGAAACAAAAATTTAAAAATTTGTTACAATAAAAGACATATTGTCATTAGTCTTCCTCAAAGTGCTGGCCTTCACTTTGAATACACTTATCCCATTCATTATTCTTGCCACTTCCTGAAGCAGTTCTATAAGTCCTTTTCCATGTGAGTGTCTTTCTAAGAATGTCTTGATGTCCTGAGTCTACTGAAAATATTTGAGGCAGTTTCTGTCAAATAAAAACATTGTGATGTGTCAGCAGCAACTTTACTCATTGGAGGTGGCACTGTGGAACTTCTAGCTTTTCCCCAAAGTCAAAGTGACCAGGAAAGATAAAGGTTTTGAACAAATTCAGGACATTAAGCCACTACAGTATAGTGTAAGACACTTACAAAAGAGGATTTCCCAAACTACTTCAGAAAGTGGCCAGAACAATGGGAAAAGTATATTCAAAGTAAGAGGAGTATTTTGAAGGGGGTTAATGGCACTGTGTCTTTTACTGTAACAATTTAAAAAAATTTAAACATTCACTGTATTTTTAATTGTGCTACATATACGATATTCATGCCTTTAATATAAGTTGTATCATACATATAAACATAAATGTTAGCTCATAAAAACATCAAGGAGAAAACATAGGACAATATCTTAGCTCACTTGAGATAGGCAAAGATTTCTTAGAAATGACATAAAAATATTAATCCTATAAGACAAATGACTATAACCAGACTTCATCAAAAGTAAAAATTTCTGCTTTTAAAAGATATTATTTAAGAAATTAACAGAGAAGTCACAAAGAAGCAACATTTGCTATACATTTAAATGACAAGAGATTTTATCCATATACATAAATGAACCTCACTATCTGACTGCAAAAAGGCAAAAAAATAGAAAATGAGGAAAAATCCAAAGCAGATCATTCATGAA